GAAGGAGCATCTTTAGGGACACGGTCTAGAAGCTATATGAATATATGCATACTGTGATGTGTGGTCAGATTTAGTTATTACTGAATGTTCATATCTATAGGTATAATATTTACAATTGTATGTTTTTGGAAAAGAATTTTTTAACTCTGTCATTCTTATCCTTAATTTATAGATTTAAAACATCTTTCGTTTATAAAATAGTGAAGATGGTAAATAGTAATAGTAAGAATAGTTTAAATCCCTTCTTTTAATGCTGTAATTGACAAAATTAAGAACTAGAAATTCTTAAAAAGGAAAATGTAATAAAATTAAAAATGATCAAGATGTATAGCTTGGAAAGTAATGTAATTTTCACTAAGATAGTCAAAATGTGAAAAAATTACAAAGGCTATTTTTTCAGAACTATGAGTTCCAGTGTTATAGAGTAGGATAAGCTACAAAGGGTAGGGAATGAATGCGCAACATGATCTGGAAATCCGGTCAGGTATCATTAAGCAACAGACATTGTTAAACCCTTATATATGCTAGCTATAGTGTGTTATAAAGCGGAGAGGCTCAAAGAAACATAAACCACAATTTCTGTCTTCCCAGACCTCAAAACACATGAGCAGATCGTATATAAACATACAAAAAAAACATCCAGTGGTAGCAATAGAAACCATAGCGCTGGGGCAGATGAAGAGGGCTCCAAAGAGGGGAGAGGTCCCAGGCTGCCAGAGGCTTTCATTGCCCTTGTCCAAGGTCAAGCAACCAGCAAATGGCAGAGCTCAGACCGGACCTTGTGTTCTTTTAACGGCAAAGCGCAGCCCTGTGATTTAGAGATTGCGAACTGGTGGTCCCGGAGTTGGATACAGTCCACAGGCAGGTCTTCACTGTCATTGTTTAGGTCTGCACAGCTTCATAAACTTGAGGCAACGTTTAATAACTTGGAACATTCATGTAAAAACCCACGTGACTGGCAACACTAAACAACCCCCTCCCATAGGCCAGAGTTCACTGGTGAGCCACGTAGATGTCATATGGACTCCCCATCCACCCATGATGAATGCATGGGCAGCCACCACAGCCCTGCACTGATCCCCCCCCAGTCTGCCCCAGTGGCCTCGTTCTCTGATCAATTACCATAAGGGTGTTATGCAGATGTGATATGGCCAGGTCTGGCTCCTCTAAGAAGCTCCCTATCTTCCCCCCTCCTTTCTCACTCCCCACCAGGAGACAAGCTATGGTTTACATAAAAGAGATACCCCTGGGTGTCTCTCATGGAAAGATTTAGTTCCCAAACTGTCAAATGTCACCTGTGTTGCACCTGGTTCCTGGTTCCATTTCCTCAACCTCCTCTGCCACTGCTGTCTCCGTCTAATCTCTGTTTATACCTTTCCTTGTCATCCCAATTTGATGCATTATCTACCTTCTCTTAGTCTGTGACCTCAGCTCTCCTCCTGCCTCTGGCTTTCATCTTTCTCTTCTCTTTGATAAAACAAACAACCTTCCTGTCCACACCTATCCTGGTCCACTGGCGCCCTGGACCCATCCTCCCATCGGCCACCCCACAGCCAGAAGCTTCACAGGCAGGAGCTGGCATAGTCCAGCTTGTTGCCAAGTTTACTGCTGTTTAAGTATGTCATTTATTTATTGGTTTAGTTTGTCTCTTTTTAATTATTCCCTGAAACAAATATTCAGAAGAAATGCCCAGGCATAATAACATGGTTAAAATAGGAGAACAGGAAAAGCAAAGTAAGAATCACTCAGAATCGTACTAAAAACTAAGGTCAGACCACGGTTGTTACGATGGCACTTTGAATAGCTCTGATCTTCACAAGCAGTCATAACAAAAAGCACAACGGAAGGGGCGGAGTTACTGTGAGTGAACAGAGTTTACATGACCTAATTCTCAAATAAAAGAAGCATATCTGCCCATTTGAAGAAAAGAGAATTCTGCTATTAAACTCCAAGAAAAAAATCAAAGACTCGGTGAGGAAATAATTTTTGCAACAATGAACTATTTCTCTGAGTATTAAAGATAACCAAAGCAGACTCTTCCCTCAAAGGAGAATCTTAAAACAGCAAGAACGGGGCATTTTATGAAAGAAAAGATGCATTCTGCCCTTCCGTGTAGAAGTATCCTCCAGTACTGTCAACATTGGCCTGGCTGGAATGCTCCCTTCATGGGAATGAACAGGAATCTTCATTCACCCTTTCTGTTGTCTTTGACATGATCTAATTTCACTGAATGCTACTATAACTTGCTAGCTTTAATTACCACTTAGCACCTGAAAATTGATACTTTGAAGGCCACTGAGAAGAGCTTTCCAAGGGTCCTCTAAAGCGACACTATCTTTCTTGACAGGGCCATTGTGTGAAATAGACTCATCATTTCATTACTCCTGGACATCAAATTGTGGGGAGCCAAAGCTCATTCGCTGCTCAGCGTGTCCCAGCCTGACAGCTCCTTTACAATGTTTTTGAAATTCCATTATCTCCACTAACCTCTCTGACCTGCCCTTTGTGTGGATGGCATCGTCCCTCAGGGGTGGCGGGGGCGGGGGTGATGGCTACCTTCAACCTTTGTCTTTTAGGAGCTGCTGAAAGCTATTCTTTTAGAAGTCAAATGGGAGTTGGAAGCCAACAAGTAATGTATAGAGAATTTCTTTTAACTTTCTCCTAAATTATCTAAGTAGACAAACCCAGCTGCCTCAGTAAATGATTCACTGAGAAGGTAGAGATTTCAACCAAAGTGTTTTCCTTGACCTGGGAAGTGATCAGAATTGGATGGTAAGTGAAAATGCCAGATTTACAGTGGCCTCAGGCACATGCCAGCCTCCTGGCATTGCAACAAATGCCAGGCATCTCTTGCCAACGTGAAGCTGGGGGTTCACCAATGTGGGCCACAGCCTTGGCTGATAACATTGTCAGAAGCACCAGCCATTCCGAGGAGAGGACTGAGAGCCTTGGGTGACAAGGGTGCCTTTCAATTAGCACTTTGCTGTGCCGAGCCAGCCGACAGCCTGCCAGCTGGCACAGAGCGGACCCTCAGCAACCTCGGCCGGGGCGACACAGCCAACACTGTGAACAAGAGGCTGCAGCTAACCCGGGCAAGTAACAGAAACAAATCAGAGAAGGGAACTGGGAGACAGGTGTTGTGGGGGGCTCCAGTGCCCCCCTCCAAGGACAGGGGAATGTGGCAGGAGCATATGAGAAGCTGAGAAGTTCAGATCCGACCCTTCTATACAAGTTGCAGACTCACCATCCTGTGTCTCTGTGTTAGATACAGTTGACTGGACCTTTCCTGTAAATCTGTGTCTGAAATAATCATGTTGACATTTTTGTAGTTTGGGATACAAGACAAAATAGATTTTAGACTAAAAAGTGTAGGTGAATTGTTTCAAAGAAAGAAAAGGTACTCTGACAACGATTGATGTGATTCTCAGCCCTCCTGCTCTCATGTGTTGCCTGGAAGGCACCGCCCTCCACTTTGAAGGCTCCCCCTTTCTTTAAGAAACTGCTGCCTGTGTGAATGGCACTTTGCCGCTTTTTATTAAGGCACAATGGAGGAGGCAGGTAATCCTCACAGTTCCATAGAGAGAAACACCAGCTTCTTGCAGGTGTGTGGGCAGGATTCACAGGTGTTTCTGGAAATCTAATCTGGGCACGGGGATTTGTCCTTGTCGGCGCATGAAAGGCGTCGATGCCTTCCTTGAAATCTGCCTGTGAGGAACAGTTCAGCCCTTGCTTGTCACCAGCCACGGTTAGGGCACAACCACAACATGAGATTCCTGTGCTGTTGAGAAATCACCTTGATAGCAGCTGCTGCTGTGAGTAACACCACGGAAGCCAGCCCCGGCCTTGCACAAACAGAGCTGGTGAAAGCCTTCGTTCACCTCTCACGGGGACTCCTGCAGACACACAGCACCAGGGGAGAGGGGAGGTGAGGGGCTAATAATTGGGAGTGATAAGGAGCTGCTAGGAGGCAGGGCGAGGGCTTGTCCTGGGTAGGACTCTGACAGTGATCAAAGCCAGGGCTTGGTTCCTCGGCTCTCCATTTTGCTAATGGTCTGGAGAATACAAAGCGAAAGCCCAGTTGCTGAGAGCAGTGTGGCTCTGCTCTCCCCGTTTCTCTCGGTAAGTGAAGACGGGAGCAGCAGACTCCACCAACAAATAGGGATTTCTTTTCTCTTTTGCAAACCTTGAGCATGCCAGAAGCACATTTCGGTGTGTCGCTTGGTTTGGCTTTAAGTTTTCTTTTTATCATTAGAAGGGAAGAGTGGGGGGATCATAGCTGGGCCTTGGGAGAAACAGGGAAATTCCGAGGAGAAGGTTCCAGGGGGAAGATGAAGTTCAGTTTTGAAAAGTGCTTTTATACCAGGCCTCCAGAATCACTGGGTCTTTATTCGGGTCTAAATAAAATCTTATCGATTACAACTGCAGTAAAAAGAAACAAAGTCCCCATGCTGCGTTACCCCTTGTTAACGCTACTTATGTTTTTAGATGATTTAACCTCATAAACATCGGAAAGCAAAAGCGCCGAAATGCAGGGGGCACCTGTTTGGTTTATTCCTTACTCCTTTTGTTTTTGAGACAGAGTCTCACTCTCGCCCAGGCTGGACTGCAGTGGTGTGATCTCAGCTCACTGCAACTTCTGCTTCCCAGGTTCTAGCAATTATCCTGCCTCACCCTCCCGAGCAGCTGGGACCACAGGCGCACGCCATAATGCCTGGCTAATTTTTGTGTTTTTAGTAGAGACCGGGTTTCATAGCATTGGCCAGACTAGTCTTGCACCCCTGACCTCAGGCGATCCACCCACCTTGGCCTCCCAGAGCACTGGGATAGTTTACTTCCTACTCTTTATGCCCAATTTTTTTCTTATTTGAAGAAACTGAAAAACACTTTTTGCTTTGAATATGTTAAAGTGAAGAAGAAAAGAAATAATTAATGCATGATCTTTACCAGTATCCTGTTTCTTAATTCTAGATTTTTATTGAAAAATAAAACTTCTCTTACTTCCAGTTATGCCAATGGCAGCTGCAGCCCCGACTCCATTTGTGCTCTGGCCCCAAATGCCTCATCTCTCCTGGGATTCAAGCCAGCGCCCCCAGGTGAGGATCCTTTCCCGCTTTCCATTCCTTCCTGACCTGTACTTCCTGTTTCCTAAGGCCTGTGCTCACCCTCACTGATGCCCCTGCTGGGGACACTAATGCAGAGTGTACTTAGGGCCATTTGTGTAAACACCCACACTAGAGTTTTTAAGCAGATTATGATCCCCTTGTGGATTCTTCTTGCTCATTTATGCCTGTGTTTGTTGCATCTAAATAGCAAAAAAACAAAACAGTTGAGACATATTGAGTACCCAGCATGTGCCAAGCACCCCGGAGCATGGTCTCATGTGCACCTCATGACAGTTCTGTGAGCGGTGCTCTGACGACTGAAGAGAAATTGAGGCTGATGGAAATAAAGGAACTTAGCTCTGGTCACAGAGGGAGCAGAGGGCAGAGCACGGATGACAACAGTCAGTCTGACTTCAAAGCCCCTTCTCTGAACCAAACAATGCCTTCAAACTATTTTTAATATCACAGCTTTTTTTTTTCTTTCTTTTTTTAGGTGGAGTCTTGCTCTGCTGCCCAGGCTGGAGTGCAATGGTGCAGTGCTGTGATCTCGGCTCACTGCAACCTCTGGCTCCCCAGTTCAAGAGATTCTCCTGCCTCAGCCTCCTGAATAGCTGGGATTACAGGCACCCGCCACCACACCTGGCTAATTTCCATATTTTTAGCAGAGATGAGGTTTCAACATGTTGACCAGGCTGGTCTCGAACTCCTGACCTCAAGTAATCTTCCCACCTCAGCGTCCCAAAGTGCTGGGATTATAGGGGTGAGCCACTGGGCCCAGCCAATATCACAGCTTTTAATTTGAAAAGTGGAATGTTTGACTCTCGTAAGTCTGTCAGCGACATCAATGAACGCTGCTTTGTAGTGAAATTCCCACTATAATCATCACACTATTCCACAAGACACAGGGAACCACACCATTCTTTCTCTAAAGACATAACACGAAATGCCCCTTGGTCACCAACAGAAAGTGCAGATGTCCCCAGAACATATTGCAGTTTTGGCAAAAAAGATGTCATTGAGACTTAGCATGATGTACTTCTGAATCATACTAGATCTTGTTCCTTAAAGAGTTAATCAAGAGGCACACATAGCACTAGATCACAATTACTTCAATATTTTGATAACTGTATTTCAAGATAGTTGGTATCCTTTGATAGCTGTTTCAATATAACTGGTTTCCTTGGTGCTCAATGTATTTATGTTAAGGATGTTAAAATACTATTTTTAGAAGGGGCCTGTGGGCTTCACCAGATCGTTAAAGAGTTTCTTGGCACAAGGTTGATTAGAAACTCCTTTTATACTGCCTCTGTTGCATGGAAAAATCATAACTCATCAACTATGAAGCAATTTTCTTAAAAATGGGCATTCACTTCTCCTTCATGGAAGAGACTTGGTTTCACACGGATGAGGCATAGGCTTAATGCTGGGAGTGTGTGGCCTGCAGGATCTGGAGGTCCCAGCTGCCTTTCTAATCTGCTTGGTTTCACCCAGGAGGGCAGCGCCACCTGGTCTCTGAGTCAGCTGTGCACAAAGGAGTTGAAATTGACAAGGTAAAGAAGGCCTGACTCCTCTTTACAAACCCCAGGCTCCATTCAAACTCCAGACCCCGCGTGCATTTCTTCTTACCTAACCCTGCCGTCTCAGTTTCCAGGCGCTGACTCCCTCACCCTGCCGTTTCAATCCCTGCCTTGACTCATCTTCCTGGGCCTGCCTCTCCCCTCCAGAGCGCCTGTTCCTGCTACCTCCGTGACCGAGCTGATCTTTCTAGGAGTGACCTGTGTTCTGATCAAGCAGGCATGTCTCTTTGCTTCCTGATGTCCTAATATGGCAGCAAAGGTGGTAGAATTAAGTCATCCTGCAAAGGAAGCATGAAATGAAATAAAGATGCAGTGGCTGATGATGATAGTGCTTATGTTCCTAATGGAAGAAAATGCTAAACCTCTCTTAGAGGTTGGTAGGAATAGGGAGGCAGTCTTTTTACTTTTGTGTGTAGTTTTGCTTCTTCTTTAAAAAAAAAATCTGGGTTTGCAAATCTCTGAATAATACCCACAAAGCCTTGGGGGGCTCCAGGTTAGAAACTCTGCCATGGCTGATGGCAAAGGTGATTCACATATCCCAGGTCCTCCTAAGCTGTGGGTAAAACAGGCTTCTGGTTATACTCAGGACTCAGAATTTCTCTAGCCAGTCTACCTCCCTTTTAAGCACCTTCAAATTCCCCTTAGTGTCAAAGTTCTCCAGGAAGGTCTTACAGCAGAGGAAGAAAATGAAGAATTCGTTCAACAAATTCTTCCTGACAACAAGGAGGTGGTCATCATTTTCCTCCTCTGCTGCTCCAGCTCACTGGGTATAATCCAGCTTCCAGTCCACAAGAAGTGACCCAGTGTCCTTTGGAGTCACCACCCTAGTGACTTGCTTACCAAGGGCCGTGCCAATGAGGTTGCAGTCCTAGGTCAGCCCCCATTATGGACAGCTGGGCGCTTTTGAAGGGAGCTTGTGGGGCACAGACCCGGTTTGTGGTAGCACACTGAAATGTTTTCTGAATTGAAGTCGTGTGTTTGCACCAGGCAACAGAGATGGCAGTGAGACTGCTCTTCAATTTGTACATTTCCTCGATTTCAGTACCTTGCTTGGGACTCCGATGGGTGCATGTGAGGGTCAGGCCAGAGCCAAGGGCAGAGCGGCCTGCAGAGTGTGTGCCCTTGTGCATCAGCTCTCCCTGCTGACCCTGGCACTTGGCCTTGAGTCAGGCTGATAAGCCTCATCTCTGTCTGGTTTTCTGACAGTCCTTTCCCAGGAAAGCTCTTGGGAAAGTTTGCATTCACAGCCTCAGGCACTGGGTCACAGGACTCCTGCTGGCTGACTCACCTGGTCCTCCAGCAGCCCTGGGCAGTCTTGAATCCTGAGGGGCTGGAGTTCAGGCACAGGACTAGACCCCATCTCCCCCTCAGGGCTGAGAGAAGCAGCACCATCCTGGAGTGAGCTTCCCACACCAGCTATCCTAGAAGTCCAGTCAACAGAATAGAGCCAGCCAGAGCCCATGAGAAGGTCTTCATGGCAGGAATGGAATTTGTAGTTTCTATAAAGTAAATGTTTGCCAATATTCTTTTTATTGGCATATTATACTCATAATAAATTATTTGGAACTGTTCTCAGTTGTAACTCAGTAAAGATAATTAAGACAAACCCCATGGGGGGCTGCTAATTTGCGCTTATGCAATTTTTTTTTTTTTTTTTTTGAGACAGTCTCACAGGCTGGAGTGCAATGTCATGATCTGGGCTCACTGCAACCTCTGCCTCCTGGCTTCAAGCAATTCTCCTGCCTCAGCCTTCTGAATAGCTGGGATTGCAGGCACCCACCACCACACCCAGCTAATTTTTGTATTTTTAGTAGAGACGGGGTTTCACCATGTTGGCCAGGCTGGTCTCGAACTCATGACCTCAGGAGATCTGCCCGCTTCAGCCTCCCAAAGTGCTGAGATTACCGTGGTTCATGCCTGGCCTGGAATTACAATTTTTGATTGACTACCCTGAAAGAAGTGAGAGGAAGCAAATGCTTTCATCCTTGGTTATAACTCTCTAAAAATTAACCCAGCACTTTGGGAGGCCGAGGCGGGTGGATCACGAGGTCAAGAGATCGAGACCATCTTGGTCAACATGGTGAAACTCCATCTCCACTAAATACACAAAAAATTAGCTGGGCATGGTGGCGCGTGCCTGTAATCCCAGCTACTCAGGAGGCTGAGGCAGGAGAATTGCCTGAACCCAGGAGGCGGAGGTTGCGGTGAGCCGAGATCGCGCCATTGCACTCCAGCCTGGGTGACAAGAGCAAAATTCTGTCTCAAAATAAATAAATAAATAAATAAATAAATAATCATTTTTTTAAAAACTGTGTTAAAAAAAACGATGTTTACCATTCACTGAACCTACTGTATGTAAATGCATCAACGATAATAAGTGCAACAAAAGTGGAAAATGTTATTACAGACGGCGCTGTTTGGAGCACTTTACTTTTATGAAGCCATATAAGCATCGTGACAGCAATAGGAGATTGATCCTGTTTCCCTGTTGCAGATGAGGAAACTGAGGCACAGACTTAGAAACTTGAGCTCATTCTGAGGCGAGATTTGAAGACCTATAACCCTGTGGATGCAAGAATGCCTTCTCACTTGTTAGCTTAACTCCTATAAGAGAGAGCTTAACTCTCAACTTAACACCCACAGTACACTGAACTCATTTTGAGAATCTTACAGTTCTGCCGCCAGTGTTACCCATTCACATTGCAGGTTCTCACCTACGGGACACTGAGGAAAGCAGTGAAGTAAACGTAATGAGGCAGATCGTTTTTAGAGGAGAACAAAATAGTACACAAAACATCAGATTGCATCGTATCCGAACTGGTAAATGTTTCATGAAGCTTTTGCTTTATTTGTGTGGGGTGTGTGTGGTGTGTGTGTGTGTGTGTGCACGCAGGTGCGCACTAGGTAACCGTGTAACCTAGCTGGGTTGCAGTCTAAAGGATTTGACAAACACTGTCCCCAGCCTGTGTGTGCATGGTCCAGGGCAGTGCTGGAAGGATTTGGGCTCCTGCCAAGTTAACTGGACCCTCCCTGGGGATATATATCCAAAGGACTATAAATTGTTCTACTATAAGGACACATGCACACGAATGTTCCTTGCAGCACTGTTTACAATAGCAAAGACCTGGAATCAACCCAAATGCCCATTGATGATAGACTGGATTGGGAAAATGTGGCACATATACACCATGGAATATAATGCAGCAATCAGAAATGATGAGTTTGTGTCATTTGTAGGGACACGGATGAATCTGGAGAACATCATTCTCAGCAAACTGACACAAGAACAGAAAATGAAATACCGCATATTCTCACTCATAGGTGGGTGATAAAAAATGAGAACACATGGACACAGGGAGGGGAGTACTAAACACTGGGGACTATTGGGGGGAAATGGGAGGGCCAGCAGGAGGGGGAGGTGGGGAGGGATAGCCTGGGGAGAAATGCCAAATGTGGGTGAAGGGGAGAAAGGAAGCAAGACACACTGCCATGTGTGTACCTATGCAAATGTCTTGCATGTTCTGCACATGTACCCCAAAACCTAAAATGCAATAAAAAATTTAAAAACAAAAAAACGTGTAACTGGTTCCTTATCCTTATCTGAGCTGAGGTATTACACCACTTTGCATCTGCAGCACAATGACTGCTGTGAGTTTCTTTCATGGTGAGAGAGAAAGAAAAGCATATTATCTTCATGGCATGAGTTAAACACAGACCCCGAGAAATGGAGCCTGTTCCTCCATGCATGATTCAATAGTGACGCTAATCACAGAGGAGCTACGGCATGATGTCCCTGTCCTCCCTCCCTCTGACCGCCCTCCTGAAGGGACCTGCACTGGCATTTCTTCTAGGGCAGCAACTGTCACCAACCTGGCAACTCGCTAGAAGCTACTGAAGGTTACCCCAGGAGTGACAGCCCTGCTGGAGGCCCCACCTCCCTGGCTTCTAATAATGGGTATCCTTGCCTACCTCCTCCGAGACATGAAAACCACTTTGTGATTGACTAAGCCATCTTCATTATTGTATTTTTCATGCTCCTGGCTTAGTAGCCAGCATATCCACAGCTCATTGCATATTTGTTGAATTTGAGGGGTTTTGCTTTTGATGTGTGCAAGCATTTTGAGACCATTTGAACAGAACGATTAAAAAGGTAAAATAACTAGCTGAGCATGGTGACATGCTCCTGTAATCCTAGCTACTCAGGAGGTTGAGGCAGGAGTTATCTTTGAGCCCA